TGATAGGCCTTGATAACGCTCCAGGAGTTGATAGACCTTGATAACGCTCCAGGGGTTAATAGGCCTTGATGATACTTCAGGAGTTGATAGGCCTTGATAACGCTCCCGGGGTTGATAGGCCTTGATAACGTTCCAGAAGTTGATAGGGCTTGATAATACTCTAGGAGTTGATAGGGCTTGATAATACTCCAGGAGTTGATAGGCCTTGATAACGCTCCCGGGGTTGATAGGCCTTGATAACGTTCCAGAAGTTGATAGAGCTTGATAATACTCCAGGAGTTGATAGGCCTTGATAATGCTCCCGGGGTTGATAGGCCTTGATAACGCTCCCGGGGTTGATAGGCCTTGATAACGCTCCCGGGGTTGATAGGCCTTGATAACGCTCCCGGGGTTGATAGGCCTTGATAACGCTCCCGGGGTTGATAGGCCTTGATAACGCTCCCGGGGTTGATAGGCCTTGATAACGCTCCAAGGGGTGATAGGTCTTAAACGAAACACTAAAAATATAATTACATCGACTATTTAACTGGTTAGATAATGTGGATATAATACAAATTTTGTCCCTAATAATACTTGTAAATTATTTTTTTGGCCTACACCCTATGGTAATTATTGCCTATATATAATATAATTTATTAACGTTAAAATTATTAAGATTAAAATTTTCCTTCTATAGCTAGTGAGTGAGTAGATATTATTGGGGTAATTCATTATTTTTTTTAAATCAAATAAAGTTTTGATATTGAAATAAAAAAAAATTAGTTTTAGGGGTGATTAGTAAATCTTTAATAATTACATAATGTGTTTGATAATTATCAATTAGTGTTGTCAGAGATAACTTATACAAAAGTAGTTAATTTTAAATTTTCTTCTACTTTTCACATTTTTAATAATATAGATTTTGTAAATATTTTGGGTTATTTCACCGTAAGCTGTGATGTTTGACGGGGGGTAAAAGCTGTGATGTTTGACGGGGGTTAAAAGCTGTGATGTTTGACGGGGGTTAAAGCTGTGATGTTTGACGGAGGGTAAAAGCTATGATGTTTGACGGGGGTTAAAAGCTGTGATGTTTGACGGGGGGTAAAAGCTGTGATGTTTGACGGGGGGTAAAAGCTGTGATGTTTGACGGGGGTTAAAAGCTGTGATGTTTGACGGGGGGTAAAAGCTGTGATGTTTGACGGGGGTTAAAAGCTGTGATGTTTGACGGGGGGTAAAAGCTGTGATGTTTGACGGGGGGTAAAAGCTGTGATGTTTGACGGGGGTTAAAAGCTGTGATGTTTGACGGGGGGTAAAAGCTGTGATGTTTGACGGGGGGTAAAAGCTGTGATGTTTGACGGGGGGTAAAAGCTGTGATGTTTGACGGGGGGTAAAAGCTGTGATGTTTGACGGGGGTTAAAAGCTGTGATGTTTGACGGAGGGTTAAAGCTGTGATGTTTGACGGGGGTTAAAAGCTGTGATGTTTGACGGGGGGTAAAAGCTGTGATGTTTGACGGGGGTTAAAAGCTGTGATGTTTGACGGGGGGTAAAGCTGTGATGTTTGACGGGGGGTAAAAGCTGTGATGTTTGACGGGGGTTAAAAGCTGTGATGTTTGACGGGGGGTAAAAGCTGTGATGTTTGACGGGGGGTAAAAGCTGTGATGTTTGACGGGGGGTAAAAGCTGTGATGTTTGACGGGGGGTAAAAGCTGTGATGTTTGACGGGGGTTAAAGCTGTGATGTTTGACGGGGGGTAAAAGCTGTGATGTTTGACGGGGGGGTAAAAGCTGTGATGTTTGACGGGGGTTAAAAGCTGTGATGTTTGACGGGGGGTAAAAGCTGTGATGTTTGACGGGGGTTAAAAGCTGTGATGTTTGACGGGGGGTAAAAGCTGTGATGTTTGACGGGGGTTAAAAGCTGTGATGTTTGACGGGGGGTAAAAGCTGTGATGTTTGACGGGGGGTAAAAGCTGTGATGTTTGACGGGGGTTAAAAGCTGTGATGTTTGACGGGGGTTAAAAGCTGTGATGTTTGACGGGGGGTAAAAGCTGTGATGTTTGACGGGGGGTAAAAGCTATGATGTTTGACGGAGGGTAAAAGCTATGATGTTTGACGGAGGGTAAAAGCTATGATGTTTGACGGGGGGTAAAAGCTATGATGTTTGACGGGGGGTAAAAGCTATGATGTTTGCGGGGGGTAAAAGCTGTGATGTTTGACGGGGGGTAAAAGCTGTGAACGGGGGGTAAAAGCTGTGATGTTTGACGGGGTTAAAAGCTGTGATGTTTGACGGAGGGTAAAAGCTATGATGTTTGACGGGGGTTAAAAGCTGTGATGTTTGACGGGGGGTAAAAGCTATGATGTTTGACGGGGGGTAAAAGCTATGATGTTTGCGGGGGGTAAAAGCTGTGATGTTTGACGGGGGTTAAAAGCTATGATGTTTGACGGGGGTTAAAAGCTATGATGTTTGACGGGGGGTAAAAGCTGTGATGTTTGACGGGGGTTAAAAGCTGTGATGTTTAACGTCGAGTGAAAGGTGTGATGTTTGATGGTGCAGGAGGGACACTGTCCACCTGGTCCTACTAAGCGGTGGTTGCTCTATGGATGACATCTATATTGTGTGAATTATATAAAATGAATGGACTAGTGATATATTTCATTATTTAATATATATCTAAACTTGTGTCTATATTAAGGGTCTCTTTGTACTCCAAACTAATACCTCCCTGCCTCATGGAGATGCGAAGCAGTTAGGATAATATATATATATATATATATATATATATATATATATATATATATATATATATATATATATATATATATATATATATATAGTAGCCAGAACTCACTTTTTGGCCTACTATTCAACAAATAAGCCAAGTTTTCCTAAGGTAAAGTCTGTTCTCTTGTAAAAATAGTACCCAGCCGGAGATATATTGTGGTTGTGTATAATATTCTTTCAAGCGGGATTTAGATAAAAAGTGAAATGCTAAAACGCAGAAAAATATGTAAAAACTTTGCCATCAGCTGCCGTTCCGGTCCTGCACATTGTAGCGGTCCTCTGCCCACTGTAGGGGTCCTGCACATTGTAGGGGTCCTGCACACTGCAGGGGTCCTGCACACTGTAGGGGTCCTGCACACTGTAGGGCTCCTACACACTGTAGGGCTCCTGCACACTGTAGGGGTCCTGCACATTAAACGGTGCCGACATAATTGTTATATCGATGGTTTTTCATTGTTGACACCCTTCACTCCGGCAGTTACTATTGATGCTCTGATAGTAATGGGCAGGTACTATCGATGTATTGACAGTAATAGTATAATTTACTATTGATGTACTGACATTAATGGTCAGTTTTTATGTATTGATGTTCTGACAGTAATGGGCAGTTACTTTGATGTATTAGCAGTTAATGGGCTGTTATTATTGATGTACTCACAGCTAACAGGCAGTTGTTATTCATGTACTGGCAGTTAATGGACAGATACAGTTGATGAACTGGCAGTTAATTAATGGCCATGAGTTACTATTGATGTTCTGAGAGTTAATGGTGAGTTATTGATGTTCTGACAGTTAAAAGTCATTAATTGACGTTCTGACAGTTAATGGTCAGTTATTGATGTATTGGCCAGGGTATATATCAGATAATATTGATGTACTGACGGTTAATGGTCAGTTATTGAGGTACTGAATGGTAATGGACAGTTACTATTAATGATCTGCCAGTTACTAGTCAGTTACTGTTGATGGATTGACAGTTAAAAGTTTCATTGTTTTGAAATGACAGAAATTTATTGATTTTATTTTGGCGGCCAAGTAATTAAGGTTGGCGTTGGTTCTCGCTAAAAAAAATATCCTTGTTATTTTTAATAATTGAAATAAGCGTAATTTTGTCCTTGTTATAGCAATTAGTTTATTGTAAAGGTAATTGGTTCATTGTATAGGCAATTAGTTCTTTTTCAAATCGGTTACTTTTTAAGGAAAATTAGTTCCTTGTCAATTTAATTAGTTTCTAGTGAATTTGTCACTGTGAAGTTATTTCTCCTGATAATTATCTAATTATTAATGAAAGTAATTAGTTTCTTACAAAGATAACGCCTTGTGAGGATAATTAGCGTTCACTAAACATGTGTAAACTATTATTGTAATATGTCTTGCATTGTTTTCATCAACGTTCGTCTTTTATTGCCTTTTTTGCTGAATTGCTCATTGTTCTGATACGTGAATGGTGGGAAGAGGGGGAGTAGCGTAAAGAAACAATCATTAATAATTTTATCAGTGTATAATCAATCTTATAGTTGAATAATCTCCCATTTACAACTGGCTAGAGCTATGTACAACACCACAATAAATTATCACAACATATAACGCCTCGACGCGCTCCACACAAATCAGAGAAATCTTGTTGACAAAAACAATGAAATTGATATATGTATGTATATATGTATATGTATAATATTTCTTTGGCATCAAAACAGGGCAGGCTTCAGGGAAGGCACTCATTAGGGCCCCTCTAAATGCACTCACGCACTCTTAATGCACTCGGATATCCGTTTATACACTTACACTGGGTCTTCCAGGTCTTACACTGGGTCTTACGCTGGCACTTGATCTCGTGTCTGTTACACTTACACTTGTAAGTGTAAGTGCTTGATCTGTCGTTACTGTGTTGTGGTTGCGTCTACTAACATAAGTGTCTTCCCTGCCTCCGGTCCTCAGGAATGTACATTACTTCATTCCAACAAAACTTCAACATATATACATCATTCAAATCAAAGTTGCGTGTGTTCATATAATGTACAGTTGTCACTACAAATGATCGTACGAGAACCGGTATTTGTGCAGAGGAGCTCTAAGCTGCCTCTTGGTGATTTCACTTGTGTTCTTCCTGACGAAAGTGTGCCGCGGCTGTTGAGTAGCTGTGTGCACCCGCCCCCTGCAGCAGGGGCTCGTGTGACGCCCCCTACTCCAGGGGCACAGCTCTGTTGGGGGGGCTATTGGGGAAGGTGTGGAGGTAAAGGGAGCTTGTAGCGAAGACAAAATAAATATATATACAACATTCGCTAATATTAGAGAGGAGCGTGAAGCCCTTCGCTTTGAACCTACTTTGTACAAGGTGTAATTATACAGAAAAGATAGTGAGCTCTGTAGGTGTGTAGTGGGTGGGCGGGGTGTAATCTGGGGGCAGGGTGAAGTGGGTGGGAGGGGTGTAATCTGGGACAGGGTGTAGTGGGTGGGCGGGGGTAGTGATAAGTACGGAGGGCGGTCTGGCTTTACTATTAGCAAACAGGTTGGTTGACAAAAATGTAATCGTGAGTAGGTTGGGCGGGACATGGGTTTAATGAGGCCTAGGGAAAATAAATGGGCTGACTTTAACGGGGAGCTCAAACCTGTTAGTTAAGGAGTGAGGGCCACTCAGTTCAGTGGGTGAGTAATGGAGGAGGGAGGCCGGGAACACTGCAGGGAGAGAGGTGGGCGTGACGGCGCGGTGCACTCAATGATTACATTGATAAGTAAATGGTGGAACTGGGGGAAAGGGGGGGGGGTTAAGGAAGTTATATGAACTGGAAAACAAAAAAAAAAGAATGCGTTAACTGGCTGAGGAGGGAACTATCAGGGGAAAGCGCCAAGTCATAACGACTATATAGCACTTGGAAGGGGGTCTGGATAAGGATTTGGGATGGGACGAGGGGAAAGGAATAAAGTTTGTGAAGTGTAAGCAGTGGAGGGCAGCTCACTGGACCATGGAGTGGAGGAGGGCAGCTCACTGGGCCATGGAGTGGAGGAGGGCAGCTCACTGGGCCATGGAGTGGAGGAGGGCAGCGTGGAGAAAGGGGCGGTGGTCGGTGTCCTGGAGGCCTACTGTGGTGTAGGAGAGGGCGGCTGCTGGCGGCGCCGCCGACTGGAGGGAGGCGGGGACGTGGTAGGGCGAGGCGGGCGACCTGCCGAAGGCGTGGAGGGGGGACGGGGGAAGGGCCGCCAGTCCGTGCGGCGACGCCAGAGGGGGGCTCACCGAACGGGGGGAGTCACCCCCTCCGTCCCCCACATTATTATCATCGCGGCCGATGAGAGAGTCGATGGTGAAGGGCTTGTGTGTGCGGGGCGCCGGGTGCTGGGTGAGGGCTGAAGGCGACGGAGGGGAAGAAGGCTGCTGCAGGGAGGGGCCGCAGGGGGACCTGAGGGGCGTCGGCACCCCCGGGTGTGGCAGGCCCGCCGGGAGCGCCAGGGGCTTAACGGGCGTCGGGTGGAGGAGGTGGGTGTTGGCCTGCTGGAGAGGCAGAAGGGGGCGCACCTGGCGAGCCAGCTCCAGGTGCGGGAGGCCCAGCGGCAGGCCGCCCAGGTGCGGGAGGTAGGGCGGCGGGGGAAGCAGGGAGTGGGTGAGGGGCGGCCGCTGCAGGATGGGGTGGTGCGGCCCCAGCAGCGCCGCCGCCTGCTGCAGCTGCTGCTGCTGGAAGGGATCCAGCATCCCCGACGTGAAGAGCGAGAAGACGTGCGGGTCGCTGAAGAAGTCCGGTGCAGGCTGCCGCTTGTACCGCTTGCGGCGCCGCAGGAAGGAACCGTTGTCGAACATATCTATGGCACCCGGGTCCAGCGTCCAGTAGTTGCCCTTGCCGGGGTTGCCAGGCTCTCGTGGCACCTTGACGAAGCAGTCGTTGAGGGAGAGGTTGTGCCGGATGGAGTTCTGCCAGGCGGGGAACTTGGCCTTGTAGTACGGGAACCGGTTCATGATGAACTCGCAGATCTCGCTCAGCGTCACCCGCTTCTTCGGCGCCTGTAGGATGGACATGGTGATGAGGGCGATGTAGGAGTAAGGCGGCTTGACCAGCCCGCCCTGCTTCTCCCCGTCCTCATCCCCGCCCTCCCGCCCGTCCCCCTGTGGCGAGGCCGGGGGCGGGCTGCTCGCCTCCGGCATGGAGCTCGTCTCTTCTGGAGGCTCCACCTGCACCTTCTCCTCCAGCTGCGCCTCCTGCTGTGCCTCCTCCGGCCCGCCTCCCGCCTCACACGGCAGCAGGTCCTTCACCTCGTCGTCCTCCTCCTGCTGGTGCTGGTCGCCGTCCTCCTCCATCATCATGGCCTGGTCGCCCAGGTGGTCGGCAGCGCCGCCCAGCCTCGCCTCCTGCTGGCACGTGTCGAGAACAGGCGGGGGCGGCGAGGGCACCTGCGGCGACAGGAAGAAGTGCGCCCCGCGCTGTTGCTGCTGTTGTTGCACGTGTCTGTCGAAAAGCGCACGTGCTGCTTGGGCGCGCTCGTGCACGTGTCTCTCCAGCGCTGACCTCTCCATCAGGGATCTCTCCAGCACCGAGCGGTCCAACACGCCCGTTTCCCGCCCCTCTTGAGCCCTCTCCATCCCGAACCGCTCGGGCAGCTGGCGGTCAAGCCCCAGTCTTTCCAAAAAGGAGCGGTCCAGGTAATGACGGTCCGGATACGGCCGCTCCACCACGTGTCTCTCCGATGGCGCGCACAAATGACGCTCCGATAACGACTTATCAAAAAATATTCTGTCTGCTAACATTTTGCCAGCGTCCGTCTGGTCGAAGGTGGGTTGTTCGAGGTGAGTCCTCGGGTCATAGAGGCGTGGGTCCCGGTAGAGGGAGGCGTGGGCGGCCAGACCCTCCACGCCCGCGCCCACCCCGAGCTCAGAGTCGCTGGCCATGTCTGTGGCGTCCTGGTCGACAACACTCAGATATCACAGCACATGAGATCCGTCCCCACCACTGCAGTGTCAGTCTCCACCACTGCGTCACGTCTAACACGACCACTGCGTCAGGCGCTAAGAGTGCGTCAAGCCCGCCGCCACAGTGTGAGCGGCGTCACTAGCTACCAGGAGCGCGGGAGCCTCCAAGGGTCCGTCCCATCTGGGAGTCGAGAGCTTACTGCCCGTGTGCCTATTATCTTAATGGTTTTATCGCACTTTGTCTACCAACTGGCGCCGGTGCCGAGTACACACACATTTTCATTCTTGTCGCCAAAGTTTGAGTTGAGCGCCACGTTAGATGTACAATCTGCGCTACACATGCCTTCACTATCATAACTATCCAATCAATACGCCCGCCTGCTGGCCCAGCGCGCCACTAGGGCGGGGCATAATTCTCTCCACCAATCACACTCGGCGACGTAGGCGGAGCTTCCCTCCTTCCACCAATCGCACGCAGCGACGGCGGGAGGATGAAGCTGTGAGGGCGGAGTCGAGGATGGTGGGCGGTGCCAAATTCCGATGCAGTGACCGAAAAGGTGTGGTGTTGCAGGTGGTGATTATTGCACACATTTATGGCTGTATACCGGCAGGCTCCGGGTGGAGCGGCAGTAGTTGACCCGGCCGGCAAGGGGCGCCATGATGGGTGGCTGACCCTGTAACTGACCCTGTGGGTAATGATCGCGGGAATGTTGACCTCGCCGCGCTGACCAGCCGCATTTGGCACGGGGTCAGGAGGGAATCTTGCGTCCCGGGATGGCAGAACCTGACGCACAGGAACACACGCACACACCCATCCTGCTGCACGCTGTTATCACACGTGTCCGCTTCTGCTGCACGCTGTTATCACACATGTCCGCTCCTGCTGCACGCTGTTATCACACGTGTCCGCTCCTGCTGCACGCTGTTATCACACCTGCCCGCTCCTTCTGCACGCTGTTATCACACGTGTCCGCTCCTGCTGCACGCTGTTATCACACGTGTCCGCTTCTGCTGCACGCTGTTATCACACGTGTCCGCTCCTGCTGCACGCTGTTATCACACCTGCCCGCTCCTTCTGCACGCTGTTATCACACGTGTCCGCTCCTGCTGCACGCTGTTATCACACGTGTCCGCTCCTGCTGCACGCTGTTATCACACGTGTCCGCTTCTGCTGCACGCTGTTATCACACGTGCACGCTCCTGCTGCACGCTGTTATCACACGTGTCCGCTTCTGCTGCACGCTGTTATCACACGTGTCCGCTTCTGCTGCACGCTGTTATCACACGTGCACGCTCCTGCTGCACGCAGTTATCACACCTGCACGCTTCTGCTGCACGCAGTTATCACACGTGCACGCTGTTATCACACCTGCACGCAGTTATCACACGTGCACCCTCCTTCTGCACGCAGTTATCACACGTGCATTCTGCGCGGTATTAGTGCATGTGCACGCAGTTAGCGCGCTCCTGCTGAACGCTGTTATCACACGCGCACGCTCCTGCTGCACGCTGTTATCACATGTGCACCTCCTTCTGCACGCAGTTATCACGTGCACGCTGTTATCACACGTGCACGCTCTTGCTGCACGCAGTTATCACATGTGCACAGTCCTGCTGCACGCAGTTATCACACGTGCACGCTGTTATCACACGTGCACCCTGGTATCACACGTGCACGCTGTTATCACACGTGCACGCTCCTGCTGCGTGCAAATGTACACGCAGTTAGCGCGCTCCTGCTACACGCAGTGAGAGCATGTGCCCGCTCCTGCTGCACGCAATTAGTCCATGTGTGCGCTCTCGTTGCAAGCAACTCGCACATCTCAGTATACATTCACACACTTGTCACACAGGTGCATAGTAAGGCTTCTCAAGCATGTACGAAAATACATCGCGGATTTGTATGCACAAACGGACTTTTTATGCATGCGTGGGACGAAACGTAAGCAACGCCGTGAATATAAACGCATTCTGCACGCACTTACGTAGACCACTTCTCACAGAAGTGGGCTGCGAGATATGCACCTCACGACACTAGAAGACAGAGTAAGGGGAGACATGATCATTACGTACAAAATTTTCAGAGGAATTGACAGGGTTGATAAGGATAAACTGTTTAACTCGGGTGGTACGCGAACAAGGGGACACAGGTGGAAACTGAGTACCCACATGAACCACAGTGACGTTAGAAAGAACTTTTTCAGTGTCAGAGTAGTTAACAGATGGAATGCATTAAGCAGCGATGTGGTGGAGGCTGACTCCATACACAGTTTCAAATGTAGATATGATAGAGCCCAGTAGGCTCAGGAATCTGTACACCAGTAGATTGACAGTTGAGAAGCGGGACCAAAGAGCCAGAGCTCGACCCTCGCAAGCACAATTAGGTGAGTACAGACGACCACATAAAGAGTGCGCATGACCCTCTGGGACAGGTAGACTCTGAAATAATAATGGCGATTCTTGAAAACTAAATCTTTATTTTTTTTACCTTATTTGTTAAAGCACCTTATTATACAGGTGCCAAATTGTCCATAAACAACGCATGACCTTGCAGAAGGAACTTTGTTTTGAATGTAATATATTCAAAATAAAGTTCCACAGACGCTCCTTGAGGTGTACACAGTTACTCGGTGTGAACACACAAGAGTTTACCTTACTGTGTCTACACTGACCACGACCTTCAACACTGTGACTGTCTACACTGACCACGACCTTCGTCACTGTGACCATCTACACTGACCACAACCTTCATCACTGTGACTGTCTACACTGACCACGACCTTCATCACTGTGACCATCTACACTGACCACGACCTTCATCACTGTGACCATCTACACTGACCACGACCTTCATCACTGTGACTGTCTACACTGACCACGACCTTCATCACTGTGACCATCTACACTGACCACGACCTTCATCACTGTGACCATCTACACTGACCACGACCTTCATCACTGTGACTGTCTACACTGACCACGACCTTCATCACTGTGACCATCTACACTGACCACGACCTTCATCACTGTGACCATCTACACTGACCACCACCTTCATCACTGTGACTGTCTACACTGACCACGACCTTCATCACTGTGACCATCTACACTGACCACGACCTTCATCACTGTGACCATCTACACTGACCACAACCTTCATCACTGTGACCATCTACACTGACCACAACCTTCATCACTGTGACTGTCTACACTGACCACGACCTTCATCACTGTGACCATCTACACTGACCACGACCTTCATCACTGTGACCATCTACACTGACCACCACCTTCATCACTGTGACCATCTACACTGACCACCACCTTCATCACTGTGACCATCTACACTGACCACCACCTTCATCATTGTGACCATCTACACTGACCACCACCTTCATCACTGTGACCATCTACACTGACCACGACCTTCATCACTGTGACCATCTACACTGACCACCACCTTCATCACTGTGACCATCTACACTGACCACCACCTTCATCACTGTGACTGTCTACACTGACCACGACCTTCATCACTGTGACTGTCTACACTGACCACGACCTTCATCACTGTGACCATCTACACTGACCACGACCTTCATCACTGTGACTGTCTACACTGACCACGACCTTCGTCACTGTGACCATCTACACTGACCACGACCTTCATGACTGTGGCCATCTACACTGACCACGACCTTCATCACCGTGACCATCTACACTGACCACGACCTTCGTCACTGTGACCATCTACACTGACCACGACCTTCATCACTGTGACTGTCTACACTGACCACGACCTTCGTCACTGTGACCATCTACACTGACCACGACCTTCATGACTGTGGCCATCTACACTGACCACGACCTTCATCACCGTGACCATCTACACTGACCACGACCTTCGTCACTGTGACCATCTACACTGACCACGACCTTCATCACTGTGACCATCGACACTGACCACGACCTTCATCACTGTGACCATCTACACTGACCACGACCTTCATCACTGTGACCATCTACACTGACCACGACCTTCATCACTGTGACCATCTACACTGACCACGATCTTCGTCACTGTGACCATCTACACTGACCACGACCTTCATCACCGTGACCATCTACACTGACCACGACCTTCGTCACTGTGACCATCTACACTGACCACGACCTTCGTCACTGTGACTGTCTACACTGATCACGACCTTCGTCACTGTGACCATCTACACTGACCACGACCTTCGTCACTGTGACCATCTACACTGACCACGACCTTCGTCACTGTGACCATCTACACTGACCACGATCTTCGTCACTGTGACCATCTACACTGACCACGACCTTCGTCACTGTGACCATCTACACTGACCACGACCTTTATCACTGTGACCATCTACACTGACCACCACCTTCATCACTGTGACCATCTACACTGACCACGACCTTCATCACTGTGACCATCTACACTGACCACCACCTTCACCACTGTGACCATCTACACTGACCACCACCTTCATCACTGTGACCATCTACACTGACCACCACCTTCATCACTGTGACCATCTACACTGACCACGACCTTTAACAGGTACCAGACTAAAACCTCACTTCGCTCTGTTTTAGTTGGCCGTTAATTAACGACGCATGATGTTACTTGCAGCATTGCATAGTGCAAGCACAGGTGCCAGCAACACTGCAGAAGTCATATGTTTCAAGATGTTACAATGCATGTTGAATGTTGCAAATGATGCATGATGATGATGATGCAAGTGAGCGAAGAGAAATGGGAAATCAAAATGTAATGAACAAGTATCAAAGTATATGGAATGTAAACATTGTCAAAAAAAGGATCGTTCATAGGAGCTAGGAGGGAGGTGCATGAGATGAAAGGAAAAAAATCATAATGGATAGTACAAGTATCAAAAATATTGGGTACATAGAGAAAATATACAAAAAATGATTGTTTTTAGGTGATAGGAAGAGTGTGGTGGGTATGTGTGTCCATGTGAGATAGTGGTAGTAGAAGGTAAAGTGTACATGAAGTAAAGTGTACATCAGTGAGGTAAAGTGTACATCAGTGAGGTAAAGTGTCCATCAGTGAGGTAAAGTGTCCATCAGTGAGGTAAAGTGTCCATCAGTGAGGTAAAGTGTACATCAGTGAGGTAAAGTGTCCATCAGTGAGGTAAAGTGTACATCAGTGAGGTAAAGTGTACATCAGTGAGGTAAAGTGTCCATCAGTGAGGTAAAGTGTCCATCAGTGAGGTAAAGTGTCC